GTGTATGGCCAGCTCAGCCCACCTGGGGGCGGGGCTGGCCGGCATGTGGTGCTGGGGGACTGAACCGCGATCCCTGTGCTCTGCCAAGCCTGCTCTAAGTAGGTGCTTTAGACCACCGAGCCATCTCACCAGCCCCAAAAATTTCCTTTTTTAAAAAATTTTCTGTATTTGGTACAGGGTCTCACTATGCAGCTCAGACTCATAGTGATCCTGTTTTCAGTCTCCCCAGTGCTGGGATTACAGGTGTGTGTCACCTGGCTCAGCTTGCCCAAGGGTGGGGTTGGTGCAGCATGAGGTACTAGGGATCAAATCCCTGTCCCTGCGCTTAGTCTGCTGAGCTAGCTCAATGGCCCTTTCTGTATTTTCTTTCTTTTTCTTTTTCTTTTTTTTTTTTTTTTTGCAGAACTGGGGATTGAACTCACACCCTTGTGCTTGCCAGGAAGTGCTTATTCTACTGAGCCATCTCCCCGGCCCCTGTATTTTCTTAATGACACACAAAGTAAGGCAGAAAGAAGCAGGGCAAGGGAAGGGGAGAAAGGCATGAAATTCAACCAGTTAACACATCAGTGAGTGCTCCCTGTGGGTTAGTTTGCAGACGTTGCAGGAAAGGAGTGAATCCAGCAGCCAGGTCAGCTCTCACGGTGTGGTTATGGGGCAGACACAGTGCTAGATGGTTAGGCACTCAGCAGTGGCAGCAGGTGCAGGGTAGAGGAAGGCAGACCAGCAGGGTGGAGAAAGGCAGACCTGCAGAGGAAGGCCTGCTTCCCCGAAGGTCAGAAAACGCTGCTCGCAGGACTCGGCGCTGAGCAGAAACTGGAACCAGGGACCAAGGGAGCCTCGGGAGTGCCTGAGGGCTAGCAGTCTGCGCAGGGAACAGCCAAGAGCCAAAGATGGAGCTTATGGGAAAGTCACAGAACAGGGTGCGAAGGACAGAGGACAGGACACAGGGTTGAAAAGGTAGGGGGTGAGAGCAAAGATGACCGGGTGGGCTTGAAGGGCAAGTCGTAAAATGGCAGGATTTTGCCTCTGGAAAGCTTTAAGCACTACAGCCTGCTTATATTGTTGGTATTCTGTTTGTAGCACTAGGAATTGAAACCAGCTCAAGCATGCCTGGCCAACACTCAGCCACTGCATTACAACCCAAGCCTTTTTTGAGATCAGGGCTCGCTAAATTGCTCCAGCTAGCCTTGAATTTGCAACCCCCTTGCCTCAACCTGAGTGGCTAGAACTGCAAGGATGCCACCAAAAATGTGTTACTCAGGATACTTTGTGGCAAGTCTCCAGGGTGAGAGGAAAGGCTGGACACATGAAGGTACATGCACTGACTGCAGTAACAGCAGGGAAGTACTCTGACCTGACATACTCGGAAAGTAGTGCAGACACTCTACTGCTGAGTCCCGCATGAGCCGATCTGAGAAGAGGACACAGGGAATTCTAGGATGCCTCTGCAATGGCTGACTTCTGTCATAAGCAGTATGGAGTTGGCCTCCAACAGGTAGTGAAGGCTTGAGAAGTGGCAGGTTCCAGTGAGGGTGTCACCCAAGAAAGTTTAGGGCATATTTACATTCTCCCTACTTGCTCATTTTGAAAAACTTTAAATCTACAGAGAAATAATTATGTTTGAACAAAGACCACCATCTACATAGATTTACTACTGCTGCCTAATTTACCTTAGTATTCTTTCCTCTGAAACACTTCCCTTTACATCCTTATAGTACTCAAAAAAGGTATTTTCTTTATCACCATACTACAAGTGTCAATTCAAAACATACACTATGGACAGGGTCTCACTGTATAGGGTCTCAAATTCTCAGTGCTCCTGTCTCGGTCACCCAAGTGCTGGGATCACAGACATGTGATCCTGGCTGGGACGCTGTCTTCTACTGCATGTGACTTCAGTTTCCCAGGATCCCAGATGCTCTCAAGATGAGCATGTTAAGTCTGGATGCCCATTACACATACACGTCAGGATGAAAAACAACAACAAAAAAAAAAAACCATACACACCTGCAATCCAGGGATACGGGTGGACTGAAGATGTGTTCTGTAGGAAATGAGTTAGTATGGAAATATGGTTGGATCGGGTTCCCATTTTAAGTTGATGATTATAAATTTAAAGTTAAATCAGTCTACTTGTGATTTTTGTCTAGTATTAGAGAAATGAGAGCAGACAGCTGAGTTTAACCATGGTTAGGTTAAGTAGGTCACAGGCAGAAAGAGGCAAGGAAATTGATGGCTTTTATAGAGAAACCACTGTAATGATGGAATGCAGCTTCTATTCTGGGCAAGAAGAGAATAAGCATTGTTTTCAGTCTGTGATTACATACAAAACCGATTACTATTTTCACTTGTTTTCTTTTTCTAGAGACAAGGTCTTACTTTGTAGTCCAGTCTGGCCTGGAACTCATTACATGGCTCAGACTAGACTCTCTAGACTTGCAATGCCTCTGTCTCAGCCTCTTGAGTACTAGGATTAAAGATATGTATCATCATGCCCAGCAAGTTACTATTTTTTAAATGAATACTAAATATGGTCTTACTTAGTATTGACTTTGGGAAAGAAGCTGGCCTTTCTTATGTCTGTCCCTTCTGTCTCTATTTACTGTTTTGTTTGAGACAGATCTCCCTATGTAGTTTGGACTGGCCTTGAACGCACTATAGCCCACAGTGGCCCTGAACTTGCAGCAATCCGTGTACCTCAACCTGCGAGTCCTGAGAATAAAAACAGGCCAGACACCCAGCTTCCACCCTTTCTAAGCACATCAGTCATCATGATCACTATTGATGATGTTCACTGTGCAGATGTGCTTAGTGCAAGGGCTACAAAGTGTAAACCACCTCCTGGAGGCAGAGCTGAAGAGGAACCAAGAAAGCCGTCTTCCACCTTCACTCCACAAAGCAGAAGCAGAGATCTAATGATTTACACCAAATCACAAAGCTTGTTCTGGTCTCTGAACTTCAAGTTCTTTATTCTCCATTTTGGCCTACACAATGTATCATTAGAAAATTTCTGGAAGCCAGGCATGGTAGAGACACACACTTGTATTCCCAGCACTCTAGGAGGCTGAGACAGGACAAGCTCAAGTCTAGCGGAGGCAAGCTAGAACTGAGCAGGACCCTATCTTGAAACAAAATTTAAAAAGTCAGGTATGCATCTCAGTGCAAAGGCCCTGGGCACTCTACCTCCAGCACCACAATAAATGAACAAACAAACAAGTTTCTGGAAAACTACAAATATTCACAGTTTTCCTTGGGAAATGATCATAGGAGATTCTTTTCATTTTAGCATTATTGGGATTTTCTGTCACAAGCATGTGCTACTTTAGTAAAACCAGCAGGGCTGGTTAAAAAACAAAAAAGCAACAATATGCACCCAAACCGTAACTGGAGAAACACCTCCAATGTCTTAATTACTTTAGAACTTAAGGTATACTGCTTTTTCTTTTGAGATGCTATCTCTGGCCTCAAACTCAATGAGCTACTATGATCTGCTGCTGCCTCAGCCTCTTGAAAAGCTGGTGTTACAGGCATGCAACGAAGAACCCGCCACTACTAACCAACTACCTGGTAGACAACAAAAGTAAAAATCTCACTGCTGCAGTGCAAAGACACAGCAAAAATGTATTTTTATTGCAAGATGCATTTAAGTACTTCTCTTTAAACTGAGGGCAAGTGCATGGTTTCCTCTCTCTGGCTTAAAATGAAGTGAACTGCTAAGATGTGCTAATTTTTCTTGTTGCTGGAGGTGGTGGAGCAGGCCCATAATCCTAGAGTTTGGGAGACCGAGGCAGGAGATCACCCTGAGCTGGAGACCAGCCTGAATTGCATAGCGAGACTAACAACTAAAAAGTATTTCAACAGTTGAGGAAATGAGACATCACTGCACTGTCAGACAGGCATTCAAAATATCTCCTGCCTGGCACTCCACAGGATTACTGTTTGTAGGCTGCTTCGGCCTGTCTCTCAACGACGTCTCCCCTACTCCCTTTCATCCAATCACAAAGAACGCCCTGCAGTGTGCCTAAATAAATGACCCCCGCTGAAGGCGCGCGCTACTCCTGTCTCTGCTTCGAAAGTCTTCTTTTTCTGGCCAAGCTACTTTAAAAAAAAAATGTATTTAGAACAGGTCTACAGGGTCTCACTACACAGACTGGGCTCATAGTGGTCCTCCTCTTTTCAGCCTCCCAAATGCTGGGATTACAGGTGCGCGCCACCTCGCCCAGTCTCCATCCCAGTCTCAGCCCCTGGGGAAGGGCGGCACAGCACGGCACGGGGATCGCATCCGGGTCCCCGAGTCTCCCTAAGCAGGCGCTTTAATCCGCTGAGCTATCTGGCCGGTTCTAAACCACTTTAAACGATCTTTAAAACATCAGTTATCGTCTCATCCCCGGAGTTCTTCCACAACGCCGCCGCCACTCACGTAGACAGCACGCTCTGACCAGAGACCGTGAAGGCAGCCTCGTTTCCTAGTTCTTGGGGCAGAAGCTGTGTCTTTTCGTTTCGTGCTCTCATCCCTCCGCCAGCCGACACAGCAAGGGATCGACACTTTATGGTTCACTTCCCAAATAAACCCTCGTAAAAATAAACGCTCGCAGGGTATAAAAGAGACTGTACGCTCAACGTACTCTGGGATACAGAGAGGCTGACGCCACAAGCAGAGACGGGTGGATGACGGCGAGAAAGTGAAGCGACCCGCCCGAGCATCGCGCGCTCCAGTTCTAGAGCTGGTGCGGACGCACGCCCGTAATCCCAGCGCTCGGGGACGCTGAGGCAGGAGGAGGGCAAGTGCGACCCGAGCCAGGGCCCCTCATCGTACTCCACCCGGGTCGGCTCGCAGTCGCTCCTTGGGGCGAATCGGGGCGTCGGAGGAGGAAGAGGAGCTGTGTCCCCCGGAGCCCCGTCCCGGCACGGCCGGGGCGCCCTCGGGCCTCGCGGTCCCTCGCGCGCTCGTCAGAGCGGCTGTGCCCCCGTCTCCCTCGCTTCCACACAGCGGCTCTCACCTCAGTCCCAGACTCTGCCCTACGGAAGTCGCTGCACATCGCCCCGAAGGCTCGGCCCACGAGACACTCAATTTTCCCGCCACCAACGCCATTTACCGACGACGCTAGAGACGCAGCCAGTCAGACCCATTAGCCGCGCCCCGCAGTGCGCCTGCGCCGACGGGGGGGGGGCGGTGAGCATGCGCGAGGGGGTGTCGGCGCCCCTTGATGACGTCAATCTCCAGCGCCCCCAGGCACACGCTTCTGTCTCCTTGGAGACCAGCGGACAGTCCGTGTTATTTTCCTCTGGCTCGTGCGCTTCGCTTCCTGGTATTAGACAAAATTAGCCACATGTACTTGATTTTTATTTTTTTATTTTTATTTTTTATGTACTTGAGTTTTAAACTATCAGTACATTTATTGGCCAAGCAGTCTCTTGTTCCTTCTTGGGTTAAAAGCCTCAGATGGGGCAGTAGTAAAAAGTATAATCAATTTAAAAGTACTTTAAAAATTTGCATAGCCGGAGAATGTGTCACGTTCCATATTGAGGGTAAACGAATTCTATTAACCTTCGCTATATTTATATATTCAACGTAAATAAAGTGTACACTCACACATACAATATATATATATTTTTTGTTTTGTTTTTTGCGGAACCAGGATTGAACTCAGGCCCTTGCGCTTGCCAGGGAAGCGCTTACTCCACTGAGCCATCTCCCCGGCCTGCACACATACAATATATAACGTAGCAGTATAAGTGCGTGCGTGTGTGCGTGCGCGTGTAGACTATGCGGTGCATCAGACCTGGGAACCCAACGCAGGACACATGCCTGAATGGGCTTTACAACGCATTACGTCATTTGCTGGAACGGGCCTACAACTCACTTTCCAAAAGCAGTATGTGTTGTTTTCTTGGGCACAATTGTGGAAGTAGCACGCCTCTAATTCTTTTTCTTACCCTTACAGTGGTATCATTATTAGTTACTACTGGGTAAGAAACTAGATTAATTAAAGTACTGAAAGAAAAAAAAA